AATATACATATAGTTCTTATACACTTTTGAGGGGCAGTTTTAAGTTGATATGAGGTGATATAGAGAGAAGAGGAGGGGGAGTATGGCAGACATGGTCGAAGTTAGAGAGGGAAGGGAGAGATAGGAATCATTTTAAATCGATTTTTATTAAGACATTTAAGAGTAATAGAGAGTGGTAAGGACCAGACATTGACCTATTTACATCTTCCTTGGGATTATCCATACGGATTACCAACCTTTTCATTACTCATATATATATATATATATATATATATATATTCATGCACGTTTCATTAAATAATATAGACAAGTGTTGTTTATTTATTTTATGTAAAAAATTTTTCGTAATGTCTGATAAGTTTAATAACATTATCGTTGAACGAAGAAAGAAATTCACAATATTGATCCATATTTTTTTTTAATACAATCTAAGCTTTCGGCTTACTTAAGCCATTATCAAAGATGTCAATTACAACATATTAAGCAATATACGGACAAGACAGTGATGATAGTCTGTCATTGTTTACATAGATGATTTCTAGGCAACGATAAACACACGCATATAAGACGCTAGAAGCGAAAATCGCACCGCGTCTCATGACGTCACATATGACCACACGAGAGTGAATTGTAGAAGTATGGGAAGCCGTTGGTATAAACCAATGGCTACTGTTACCAATTATAGACATTTAAGAATATTTGTAGCGATGCCATAATTGATTTTGTTTAGGTTGGGTTTCAACTGTTTGATGTATAATCCTTCAAGGATTTTTAGTTTTTGTCTATTATTTTCATGTCGAAGTATAATTGTGTTTTCGACAAGCATTTTACGGAATTGTGAGTGCGGGCAGGCATGTTGTTTTAAATTTGATTGTGGTGTGACCAACATAAATATTATTTAAATCGTTGGAAATACAATCTCCCAAAGGGCACTTGAATTTATAAACTATGTTGGTTTTTTGCAAATCGCTAACCGGGGGAGAAGAATCATTGCGAAGAATTAAGTTGGATATACTAGATTTAGTGTAGTATATGATTAATTTTTTTTTTTTTTTTTGCTCGGATCTGTAGTTGATATATTAGAATTTACTAAATTTTTTAGTATATTTTCATCTTGTTTATAATTAGTATGCATTTGATTATGATATAGGAGATTAATATGTTTGAGATCAGTAGAAGCAGTATTATGTACAATTTGCTTAGTATTGAGATTTCTAAGAAAGCATCTTATTTGTTCATCAACTATATAGTTTGGAAAGCTATTATTAATAAGTGTCTGTTTTATATTCTTTATTTCACTGTAAAAAATCTGTTTTGTGGATGAATTAGTTTCTGCACGATGTATTAGATTCTTTATAATTGCTATTTTGTAGTAATATGGGCATTTGCTCTTGTAGTTAAGTGTACATGAATTTATGCTTGTAGGTTTTTTGTATGGCGAAAATAGTAAATTTTACATAAAATAAATAGACAACACTTGTCTATATTATTTAATGTAACGTGCATGAATGAAAAGATGCTGCCTAAATACACACAATATATATATATATATATATATATATATATATATATATGAAGAAATATAGTCTTAAGGTGTGCTATATTTATGGGATAAAGTGCTCAATATCAGAGATAGAGCGTGTGTAAATATAAAAGTGAACATAGAAGTCAACACTTAGAGGCTCTAAGTATTGACTTCTATGTTCACTATATATATATATATATATATATATATATATATATAAAATGTCGATTAGTTTTCGTTGTGATCCTTTCAAGTTCTCGGATTAATTTTTTGGTAGACTTAGAAAATTGAGTAAGAAAAATACCAAAATTTTCTTTCAAATAGTATTTATTTTCCCAAGTAAATCCGCAGAAACATAAATACATACACACAGGTAACTTAACCCACTGAAGAGGATCTCAGATGAGATTGAAAGTACTTGGGAAAATAAAAACTCTTGTTTACCTAAGCACTCTCGCCCCGTTAGTAGTATTAATATCTTATATAGATGTTCAATATTTTTTAATTTTATCTACTTTTATCTTCTTTTATTTTAAGAAGGTTCCTGAATCTAAAATTTAGAAAAAAAAATTTCTGTTGAAATTAACTTTACATCCGATTATCCTCCTACCCCTCTCCTCGGCGTCCTTTCAAAAATTGAACATGTCGCCATATTTGTCTACAATCACAATAAATTTGTTGCTTACATGTTTTCTGTAATTGTCAATGATGACCTGTATATGTTCCTGTTTATCATGGCATGAAAAATAACCTCCCATACCTCCACCCTCTGAGCTTTTCTATTCAGCGCTGATCTAACATTTAATTGGTTAATTAAGACACACCCACAAGTCTATTTTTAATTCTGACCTTATGTTCCCCCTCCTTTAAATTCCGGAAAAGAGGTAACAATTTTTTCTTTTTTTAAATTTCCTTAAAAATCATTTAATCACCAGTTACATTTCTCTCCCTGTTTGTATATATATATATATATATATATATATATATATATATATATATATATATATATTTTTTTATAAAAAAAATTATAACATAAGTATGTTATAAAAATCATACAAAAATAGCCATTTTGTTTCAACACACTCTGTGTCTTATCAAGTGATGATGTTGAAAAGAAAATAAATGGTTGAACTTTTAAAACCATTTATTTTATTTTCAACATCATCCTTATGTTATAATTTTTTATAAAAAAAAATTATATCTTATCTACTTTGTATTGAGCACTCTTTTAAGAATAGTAATTGTTGGTTATTGGAATTCATTCCGTGTATACCAATTATATACTTTGATATATATATATATATATATATATATATATATATATATATATATATATATATATATATTGGAATCTCTCGATTTGTTGGGCTAATATGTAAAATTAATATATGCTCACTAATCGAAAACTGATTAATCGGATATAACTTATAGGAAATGATGTACAATACTTCAAATTTTAGTTTCATTCACAATTCATTTATAATTTGCGTACTTTTTAATTAAAATATAGATACTTATAAGAAGAAACAATAAAAATACTATGAATTATTTTTTATTAATTTGATTTTTTTATGAAAAACATTTAGAGTGGTTTGCCGTATGGTATTCTTTTGTTTTTCATATAATTCGCGGGACTGAGAAATTGCCCCTTCAAATTTTACAAACATATAATCCTTAGTATTTTAACCTGAACATTTTATTTAGAATCTTTCCATAATAAATATAGATAATCTTTTATATTTCGATATTGTAAGTTTCTGTATTTAATTAAATTGTCCATTTTTTTAACCAAAATTCAGAAATTTCTTTTTAAGATCTTTAAAATAAACATGAAAAAATCAAAATATTTCATAACTTTTAATAGACACCATTACTTTAAACATGTATTTTTATTACCGGCTTATATAATAAAATGTATAGATTTATAATCGCCCATTTTTTGAACACTACTGTAATTACAGAGATATCGTAATACTTGACAAATAAAATAATTACCCATTTTCTATTTTTACATTTTAGAAAGTTTTTAATTAATCAGTTATTGTCTATGTTTCTGAGATTAGGTATTATGTACACTATTTACATTATACGGACTGTTGTTCTCATCTTTGTCGCCATATTTATTACAACGTTTGGGCTGTTCAGTATCTGTCTATATTTCTGAGATGAGGTATTATGTACACTATTTACATTATTCGGACTATTGTCCCCATCTTTGTCGCTATATTTATTGCAAAGTTTCGGTCTTTCAGTAAATGTCTATATTTCTGAGATGATATATTATGTATTATGTACACTATTTATATTATTCGGACTATTGTCTTCATCTTTGTCGCCATATTTATTACAACGTTTCGGCCGTTGAAATGTCGAACTGAATCCTTTATTTCGCTCACTTGGGTAGACTGTTCTAGTTCTACGTGCCATGTTTAATGGATGTCAGTTATCAGTTATCTCCTGTTAATTCACTTCGCCAAGTTCTCCACTGCCTTAGCCGGGTATTGAACTCACCCTCTTTGGGTCCTGTCACTGGATCTAACCAACGCCTTTATCCACACTGTGCCATGTGTCCTTAAGGATAATCAGTTACTATAAAATCAATTTTCAATTACCACCCATATCGATTTTATTCGTGCATTAATCGAATTTTGGTATAATATATATATATATATATATATGTGTGTGTGTGTGTGTGTGTGTGTGTGTGTGTGTGTGTGTGTGTGTGTGTGTGTGTGTGTGTGTGTGTGTGAATATATATAGAAAATAGGAAAGAACTCGTTAGGTAAATAATCCAAAGTTCTTTAGTATTTTTGTTTTTATTTTTAAAAAAACAGTGCTGGATACAAAAGTAGAGCCTAAATATAATTATTTATTTAAAACTATGATTCCATCGCTACGAGAACTCTTATGTAGCGATGGAATCATATTTTAAATAAATAATTATATATATATATAATATATATATGTGTGTGTGTGTGTGTATATATATATATATATATATATATATATATATATATATATATATATATATATATATATGTATATGTATATATATAAATAAACAGAGAGAAAAAGAGAGGGAAAATACTGAGCTGAGAAGGGCCTGCATGGTTGATGAGTTTAAAGTGTTTTGGGCAATGGTGTCATTGTTCGCGGATCCAAGCACGTTAAAAGACTTCTCATCTAATGGTAATTTTCATACCATCCCGATAACTAAATTAAGTTTTTTCCTATATAAGCTAAGGTTAAATTTAAAAGGTTAAATTCTATCGTGGTTGTCTCAATCTTTTGAAACGGCGCGAACTGTCTTTTGTATCAAGAGTTATTCACATGCGTGTACAGGTTTTTAACGAACCTTTCTAGCGTCACACATCTTGTGACAACAATTGCAAGGGGATATATATTCAGTAATTTAGTTCTTTCTTTTATTCACATCTATTTTGGCCCGAAGATTTTCAGAACGTGATCTTACGACATGGTCTGCTCATTAATGCCTAGCTCATCTCTTGGTGGCCATGTCATGAGAGAGAGGAAGAGTTTCTCATTTGTCCACGCTGTTCCTGAGATTCTTCAAGATTGTCTTTAGCATGTTTGTTTAGCGTTTCCTCCGTCCTCATCTCGTTCATTTATCTTCCTTCAGCTGGACGTTTTAATTTTACTTGGGGAACCGGTTGTCGTGCATTCGGAGCACGTCTCCCACCCACGGAGGGCGCGGAACTTTGTGATACTCCCGGCAGGGCTGATGATCTTCAGCTCGCCGAACATTCTTTGTATCTTCCAAGATGTTTATATCGTTTCTTCCCAATTTATTATGTGATCAATGCGAAGGTTATTGCGAGTGAAAGCGATAAACTCTTGTATACGCACGCGCATACGCACGCGCACACACACACACACAAACGCACGCACACACACAAACGCGAGTGCACATATGTCTGTCTGTTTATTTTATTTTCATATCTATCTATTTATCTATCTTCCTTTTCATATCTATCTATCTAGCTAGCTATATATATATCTCTATTCATATCTATCCATCTATCTCAATCTATTCGTATCTATCTATTCCTTTCAGGCTTTTCATATCTATCTATCTATCTATCTATCTATCTGTCATTTTAATAAAATATTTATTAGTTTTCCTGTGCCGAATGTGTTGGAACATAAAAATTATCGTCATAAAATCGTGAATAAAAATTATCTGAACGTCCCTGGCTTTGTGAACCATGTCTTCAAAATATCAATGTACGCCTGAACGGTCATTTTAATATTATACAGACATTACTCTCGGCTTACCGCTTCTCCCCATATAATGCTACCCTAAAAGAAGTTCGGGCTGTCATCTTAATACCATTTGGAACTAGTCAGGTGGCCATCACGTAACTAACTATAATTTCATCCCAAAACATTTCAGTTTTTGCTGGTTGCATTGAATGCTTCGTCAATCAAACTTGTCACGTTCTATCATCACTGAACGCATCAGGAATTATCAACTATTGTGATGAATGGGTGTTCTCACAGGAGAAACTCAACCCAGCCCTTAAATGGAATTCGATCATATGATCCATCATGCTGGAAAAAAGGCCATTTCCTTGTACCGCTCTAGTAAGTACTTGACTCTATCGTCGACGTTTTGAAGAGCAAGATAAATGCTGCCATATAGGAGCTGCACAGTCTTCACGTTCCAGTTTTCATAGAGTCCAAAAGCCTCACCGCCTCCTTGTGGGTGATGAATTATTTTCCACCCTACAACCCCTTTCCTCACAGGCGAAACGTTACAAGCTTCCCGTTGCTCTATCGATATTTCGATGGAAAGTGCTCAGACGAACTACATTCTATATTCCTTAGTGCCACCAGTTCTAAAATTCATGGATCAGACACGTCAGGCCGCGGGTATTGTAGCGAACGACTAGAGCAGAGGACAAATCAGCTGCCAAGATCTGGTCATCATTGCATACATTGGCCTTCTCAATATTGCTTTACGCTCTCCGAATCTTGGACATTAACAGCAGAATTCCACAAAAAATCTAAACATTAGAAATCTCATATTACAGAACCACTAGAAAACATCTTCTTAGACCGCTTCATGACACCATCAACGCCAAACGGGTCCTTTAGAAAAACCCTCATATTCACCGTGAATTTAAAATGATTTGGTTTGGTTTTAAAATTGATTTAAAATGGTTTGGTTTATTTTGTTTTATGGCATATCAACCTCAATGGGTTATTTAATGCCGACAAGATTTTTAGGATAGGTTCGTATGAATAGAATACGTATTCTTTGTAAGAAATCAGTTTGGTTTGGTTTGGATTGGTTTGTTTTGTTTTACGGCATATCAACCTCAAAGGGTTATTTTATGCCGACAAAATTTCCTTTTTTTTTTCAAAAATGTATAGCTGGTAATTTTTTCAAAAATGTATGGCTGGTAATACTTTTTTCAAAAATGTATGGTTTGGTTTCTTTTGTTTTGTGGTATATCAACCTCAATGGGTTATTTAATGATGACAAAATTTTTATTGCTGGTAAGATCTTTTTTCAAAAGTTTATTGCTGATACTAATTTTAAAAAAAAGTACTTCTGGTATTAAAATCTATTTTTACACTTTCATAGTCAGGTTGTAGGTCAACTATTTGCCCACAGCAGGGACCCTAACAGGTGCTACCACCCTGGGTCAGGGTGGACCTGGGAACACCAGCAATTAAGAAGTGGTCCCACGCTCCTCAAGACCTCCTGGTCAGAGGCCTTGCTGTTGGATATGGTTTATCGTCTTACTCAGGACGCGGATAGAGTTTATCGTTTTACCCAGAACGTTTAAAATGGTATGACCACGCCATAAGAAACAACATCCTACAAGATGACTGTTTTGGAAAAAAGAAGAGGCTGGCAGGTAGAAAAAAAATGGTTTGATAACGTCACTGAGTAGACTGAACGATCAGGTTCAAAAGACATTGACGCCCAACCGAGATATGTACAAGAAGGTGGTGAATTGCTCAGCTGCAAAATGCCGCTATTATCACATGCAGACTGATGTTAATGATGATCAGTAAAAGCAGAACTCGCTGATCATGGGAGACGCAGTGTTATGGCGTCACAGAAAAAAATTGTCTTTTTTAAAATTTGAAAAACAAACGAAGTGTTTTGAACAATTTTATTGTTGTTTTCGCTTCGGATTCTAATTGCGTCGAACATTTTTACCTTTTTTAATGCGCAAATATTTATTACATTAGCTTTTAGGCGTGAATTAATTGAAAATTCGCCAACAAATGAAAGACGAAAAGAAATTATTTCCTAATTACCAAATGAGAGAGTTTTTTGTTTTTGTTTTTGTTTTTTTGTAATTCAAAAACGCGAGTATTATTGAGAAAAAAAAGGCTTTTTGTTTTTTCAGTTAGAAAATAACTTTATTTATTTTGATTTCTTTTTTTATTTCGGGGATCTTGATTATTTTTTTTCACGGATATCGTTTATTTTTTCTTTCAGGGATCTCGTTTCGTTTTTTATTTCAGGGATATCGTCTCTTCATTTCAGGGATTGTGTTTTTTTTATCTCAGGGATCTTGTTTCTTTTTTTTATTTCAGGGATCTCGTTTCTTTTTTATTTCAGAAATCTCGTTTCTTTTTTATTTCAGGGATCTTCTTTCTTTTGATTATTTCAGGGATCTTCTTTCTTTTTATTTCCGGGATATCGTTTCTTTTTTATTTCCGGAGTCGCCTTTCTGTTTAATTTCAGGGATCTTCTTTCTTTTTTTTATTTCAGGGATCTTCTTTCTTTTTTTATTTCAGGGGTATCGTTTTTTTTTTTATTTCATGGATCTCGTTTCTTTTTTTTTTAGTGACCTTGTTTCGTTTTTTGTTTCCAAGATCACGTTTCTTTTTCTCTTTTTAGGGATCTCGTTTCATTTTTTATTTCAGGAATCTCCTTTTTTTTATTTCATGGATCTCCTTTCTTTTTTATTTCGAACATATTTTTTTTATTTCAGGGATCTTCTTTCTTTTGATTATTTCAGGGATCTTCTTTCTTTTTTTATTTCCGGGATCTCGTTTCATTTTTTATTTCAGGAATCTCCTTTTTTTTATTTCATGGATCTCCTTTCTTTTTTATTTCGAACATATTTTTTTTATTTCAGGGATCTTCTTTCTTTTGATTATTTCAGGGATCTTCTTTCTTTTTTTATTTCCGGGATCTCGTTTCTTTTTTATTTCAGGAATCGCCTTTCTTTTTTGTTTCGGGGATATCGTTTCTTTTTTATTTCAGGGATCGTGTTTTTTTTTTATTTCATGGATTTCGTTTCTTTTTTATTTCAGGGATCTTCCTTCGTTTTTTATTTCAGGGATCTTCTTTCTTTTTTATTTCATGGATCTCGTCTCTTTTTTTTTCAGGGATCTCGTTTCTTTTTTTATTTCAGCGATCACGTTTCTTTTTTATTTCAGGGATCTTCTTTCATTTTTTATTTCAGGGATCTTCTTTCTTTTTTATTTCAGGGATCTCGTTTCTTTTTCTTATTTTAGGGACCTTGTTTCGTTTTTTATTTTCAGGATCACGTTTCTTTTTCTTTTTTTAGGGATCTCGTTTCATTTTTTATTTCAGGAATCTCCTTTTTTTTATTTCATGGATCTCCTTTCTTTTTTATTTCGAACATATTTTTTTATTTCAGGGATCTTCTTTCTTTTGATTATTTTCTTCTTTCTTTTTTTTACTCCGGATCTCGTTTCATTTTTTTTTCAGGAATCTCCTTTTTTTATTTCATGGATCTCCTTTTTTTATTTCGAAACATATTTTTTTATTTCAGGGATCTTCTTTCTTTTGATTATTTCAGGGATCTTCTTTCTTTTTTTATTTCCGGGATCTCGTTTCTTTTTTTTATTTCAGGAATCGCCTTTCTTTTTTTGTTTCAGGGGATATCGTTTTTTTTTTTATTTCAGGATCGTGTTTTTTTTTATTTCATGGATTTCGTTTCTTTTTTATTTCAGGGATCTTCCTTTTTTTTTTTTATTTCAGGGATCTTCTTTTTTTTTATTTCATGGATCTCGTCTTTTTTTTTTTCAGGATCTCGTTTCTTTTTTATTTCAGCGATCTCGTTTCTTTTTTATTTCAGGGATCTTCTTTCATTTTTTATTTCAGGGATCTTCTTTCTTTTTTATTTCAGGGATCTCGTTTCTTTTTCTTATTTTAGGGACCTTGTTTCGTTTTTTATTTTCAGGATCACTTTTCTTTTTTTTTTTTATTCTCGTTTTCATTTTTATTTCAGGGATCTTTTTTTATTATTTCAGGAATCTCGTTTCTTTTTTATTTCAGCGATCTCGTTTCTTTTTTATTTCATGGATTTCGTTTCTTTTTTATTTCAGGGATCTTCCTTCTTTTTTATTTCAGGGATCTTCTTTCTTTTAGATTTCCGAGATCTCGTTTCTTTTTTTATTTCAGGAATCTCGTTTCTTTTTTATTTCACGGATCTTCTTTCTTTTGATTATTTCAGGGATCTTCTTTCTTTTTTATTTCCGGGATCTCGTTTCTTTTTTTATTTCATACATCTCGTTTCTTTTTTTTATTTTAGCGACCTTGTTTCTTTTTTTATTTTCAGGATCACGTTTCTTTTTCTCTTTTTAGGGATCTCTTTTCATTTTTTATTTCCGGGATCTTTTTGTATTATTTCAGGAATCTCGTTTCTTTTTTATTTCATGGATCTCGTTACTTTTTTATTTCACGGATCTTCTTTCTTTTGATTATTTCAGGGATCTTCTTTCTTTTTTATTTCCGGGATCTCGTTTCTTTTTTATTTCCGTAGTCGCCTTTCTCTTTTATTTCAGGGATCTTCGTTTCTTTTTTTATTTCAGGAATCGACTTTCTTTTTTTTATTTCAATGATCTCGTTTTCTTTTTTCTTTCAGGGATATCGTTTTTTTTTATTTCTTCGTACGTTTTTCTTACTTTTTGTTTTTCATGTTTTCTTTCATTTACGAGGGAAAGTCAAAAGTTATTCGTCCATCTTGTCTAAAAATGTCATGGTGAAAGTGCGGATAATTTCGGACTCACCCTCGGGGACAGTCCCCTCACACTCGGACCGTCCTCACCCTCAGCTATGGTACCTTCACCTAATTGATACATCTTTTCTTTGATGTTTATCAATCGTTACTTTCATTGCTTCGTTTATTTATCCTTTTTTTTATTCTCATTATTTTATATTTCCTCTTTTCTTTCCTTCATTTTCTTTTATTTCTTCTCATGTTTAACCTTTTCTTTCTCTTTATCCTTCTCTCCTTCCATCAAGAGAAAGTGAAAGAAAGAGTAAGTAGTTCTAAATTGTAGTTTCATTTTCTTTCTTTTTTATATTATCCTGTATAATTCTTTATTTTTATTTTCCATTGTTTTATTAATTTTTCAGCTTTCTTTTTGGTTTTCATTTAATTAATATTTCATCGATTTTTTTTCCTTTTTCCTTTCTTTCATTCGTTATGATTTTGTCTCTCTTATTTGGTCTGTTTCAAGTTTCACTCTCTTTCTTTCTTTTTTATTAATTTCTTTTCTCTTTCTTTCTTTCTTTCTTTTGATTTAATTATTTTCTCTTTCTTTCTTTCTTTCTTTTGATTTAATTATTTTCTCTTTCTTTCTTTCTTTCTTTCATTCTTTATTATTTTGTCTCTCTTATATCGTTTGATTCCCCTTTTCTTTCTTTCTTTTTTCTTTCTTTCTTTTTTCTTTCTTTCTTTTTCTATCTTTCTTTCTTTTTTATTAATTTTTTTTCACTTTCTTTCTTTCTTTTTATTTAATTATTTTCTCTTTCTTTCTTTCTTTCTTTCATTCTTTATTATTTTGTCTTTCTTATATGGTTTGATTCAAGTTTCATTCACGTTCTTTCTTTTTATTTACTTATTTTTCCTTTCTTTCTTTTTCTTTCTTTCTTTCTTTTTCTTTCTTTCTTTCTTCCTTTCTTTTTCTTTCTTTCTTTCTTCCTTACTTTTTCTTTCTTTCTTAATTTCTTTTTCTTTCTTTCTTGATTTCTTTAATTTCTTCTTTTAGCTTTCTTTGTTTTTTATTTTCCGATTCTTATTCATTTTTCAGACTTCATTCATTTTTCATTTGTCTTAATCTTCCTATTTTTCCTAAATCGTTTTTTCTTTCTTTCTTTTTTGTATTTTTTTCTCCCTTGCTTATTTTATTTGTTTCACGCTTCATTGTCTTTTTTCTTTCATTCTATTAGATTTCATTCATTTTATGTTTTTCTTTTTTTATTTATTTTTCAGCTTTCATTTATTAGATCTTTCATTGTACTTTTCCTTCTTTCTCCCTTTCTTTTCTTTAACATTTTTTAAATCTTTCCTTTTTTTCTTTATGTCTTTCTTTCATTCTTTCTTCTTTCCCTTCTCCAAAAAAATAAAGAGATGATCGTGATGGTCATACATATAAATAAGTAAAATAAAACAAATTAGTAGGCCCTGATTTTAGACAGGTACTACACTCTAATCTTAAACTAAAAATCATAGAGATAAGCTGAATATCAATTCTTTGCAGTGACAGCTCCACTATGAAACTAATAAAACTTATGCTTCAGGACCCCTAATTCGAGAGGATCCCTTGAACTTTTCTTCATGGGAAATTTTTTTTCACAAAATCAATGTTTTTAAAGTGTTTGTTAAAATAAAAACCATTTTCAGAATCAGACGCCAATGAGTCGAAGTATCTGATGTTAGCTTTAGAATATACTTTAATATCCATTTTGTATGACCTCAAATTTCCCCTGTTAAATTTCAAAATTTTCTTGGTTGCTTGTAGCGCCCGAACCCCCAGGGGTATGAGTTCATTGAGTTCGCCAGAATCTATTCATAACTTACGTTTTGGCACTTAGATCTTCGAACCCCATTGTTGCTGCTTGCGAATGAACTTCCATATCTGTTACGAACTGGAGTTTAATTCTATATCCTAGAAAGATATTCCCAAAGGGAGGCAGGTTTAGCTTCTGCCCGAGACAGGGAAAAGGGAGTGGGTTACTGAAAGCAACGTTACCGTTTGGTTGCTGTCAACGAACTGAAAAACTTCCGGCGCTTTCGTCGCTGTATAGAGTGACGTCATTAAGTATCCGTCATGTGACCCATGTGACCTATACAGCAACTTCTGTATACTTCCACCCTCTTGTGACGGTTACACACCCGGCCCCGGGTCGGATCCTTTGGTTACGGCGCCAACGGTGACGTCGCTCCTCCTGGTCGCTCCTCCTGGTCGCTCCTCCTGGGTCCAAGCGTGCCGCTCCAACCCCTTGGTCAGATGGTCACCAGCCTCGCCTTTCCCGACTCGCTTCCAATACCTGGTCACTAAAGCAACTGTACCGATCTCGGTCTGTCTACCCACGCTGTGTTTAGATCTTAGACAGACGGGACCAGCAGGGATTAGGGCCGATACAAGTTGAGTCCGACGGGGGTGGCAAAACACAAATAAAAGAAAATAAACTCACGAGACAAAAAATTGCTGATGAAAAAAATGGGTAACAACCCTTTATATCTTAATGTCCGCTACATAAAAACAAAATTGTTCTCATTTCCCGACCCGCTCTGTGGACTATGGCACCAAGCTTCTATCACACAACCTAAAGATTTCGAATTGCCTACTCTTTAGAATTGTGTATGTCGGAGTGTGGTTTGGTTCGACACTGGGGCTAATTTCTATCGATCATTCGCAGTTGATTCTTCTCTCCGACTTGAGTAGTATTTCTTCTTCTTCGTCGACGTTTTTTATTTCTCATATATGTTTAGAAATTGATTCTGGTGTTTCCGTTTTGAGTGCGTAGTTTCGCTGTTTAAAGTATCCTTCAGTTAGTGCTATGTATATTTTTCTTTATCTGCTGTTTTTACAGTGGCTCGATATATTATATTGCTTTGCAGGCAATTTCCGTTTAAGGGACATTTCTGCAGTTACGATTGGGCTATTTTCTGTGAGTAAGTTGTAGGTTATTTTTCTTTTGTGCTTTTTATTATTTGTGTGATGTTCTTGGTGTAATTCTATCTGATTTGTACTTCCACTGCGTTAGAGAGCTGTTTCGTAATTTTACTTGGTTTTATTGAAGGTGATTTCATTAAAAGAACTGTCAGATAATCCATGGTTAATTGATTCTGGTATCTGCTTGATTATTGTTGACGGGTGTTAGATTCGTGTGTCTAATATGGTTTGTCATTGGTTTTTCTATATGCTCGATATATAACTTTTCTTAGGCTGATTATGACGTGTAAAAAATTCATTGTTTTTCTGTCTATATCTAATCCTATAAACAGGAAATACCTGTAGTCTCTACCCATAATAGCCTATTGACAAATATATGTATAAATAGTCGAGCTACCACTCAAAACACATGGCTTGAAGATTGCTTTCACGTATGATACAGACAGTCACCACTCGGTGTTGTCCTCAGTGTCCACTCCTATATTAAAACACGATTTGAGATCGAACACCCATAAATACGGCACACTCTAACACTGTATTATTTATCACACACACACACACACACACACACACACACACACACACACATACATGCATATATATATTAAATTTGGAAGACACTCACATCATTAGACAGGCATATATACACACAAAATGATACATACACAAGCACTCACGAGCAGAACAGAAATAAAATGTTGATATCTCTCGATATTTTTGTATTTTTATTGTCGCATGAGTGTGTTACTTTCCATGTCGCTTAATAGATGTTAATTGTTTGTTAATTTCTTTTCCTTTCCCTTCATATATACTGCACAGTCGACAAAATCAAAGCGCATGCGCGATATATATTAAGAAATTTTTTTTTATGTTTATACGTTCTTTTTATAGATACAAATATTTAAGTAAATGGTTTGTTTATAATAAACAGTATTAACAACATTTACCGGTCTGAATGTCTGAGAAATTGTCATAGAAAATATGTGTCATCCGACAGGAATCGAACCAGTATCCTATACGGAACCGTCATATCGCCTGACGGGCTTTTACCGATTGAGCTACAGAGGAGCGTTCCGGTTAGCAAGGTCGATTTTACTGTCTTTAAACTACAATTCTCCATTTTTTTTTCTCATACATTCATATGCGTCCTCCGACATTCAGGCCGGTAAATGATGTTAATAATGTATAAACATGAAAAATGTCTTAAAATAATTGTCGGACTTTGTCCATTTCATTTATATATATATATATATATATATATATATATATATATATATATATATAAATGAAATTCAAAAATACCGCATCTGAATGGTCTTTTCGCTCCGCTGGAGTTTGTCAGCACTACAAAGTTATCTAATATATTGAACTCTCTATTTGTGTATCTGTTTTAATATTATATATTATTAGGATTCACTTGCATTATAGACACTGATTTTTTACCCATATATACACATATATATATATATATATATATATATATATATATATACACACACACACACATATATATATATATATATATATATATATATATATATATATATATATATATATATATATATATATATATGTGGAATAGGTTTTTAATCACTGTAAATTTACGCGTTATAATCAGATCTTCTATTATCTCTATGTGGGATACTTTAAAAAAAAGTGATAAAATCGAACAAAAAGTTGGAAAATTTGGCTGACATGAACCAGACGTCATGAACAATATTAATGGAACAAAACTTCCATGAGGGATTCATTATCATCAGAGGTATTTCGAATGGAAGGTACACTGCAAATCAATGTGATTCTTCATCTCCAGCATCTTGTAAATAAATCTTATCTGTTCTTTCCAATCCTTCATATGCTGCCGTAACAAACAAAAGGACTGCATGTCACTCAAGCACTTCAAAGATTTTAGCGGGAATTTTTATTGATCGTTATTCTTTTAATCTCATTGTTCGTTGTGTCTACTGTGATTGTTCAGGCAATATTTCTGGATTATTCCTTCCCGCTCTTTTAAACTGGCCTTTACCCAGTTTAAAAGAGTTTCTCATTTACGATTGGGTTTCCAGT